AGCAGACTCCTGTCTTTCCAAACCAAGACACATGGGAAGGATCTGCAGGTATCATGCTTTGATAGGGAGAGCCCTGAGCAGGGAAACCTTGGGGGGTTTGTGAGCTCCCATGCCACAGTAGGTAAGCTGGTAAGAGACAGCGTTTACTCCTCAGTTCAGTTACTTTGTTCTTTCCAATATTGGAATTGATGATTAGCAGTTGTATTTATTGACAAAAATCCTGAATCAAGACTGGTTTGCCAATTAAAGAGAATTGAACAGCCTGTGGGATGGATGTAGGAAGGATTGGAAGAGTTTTATACTTTCCACTTTATACTTTTACACTTTCCACTGTCCCCGGCTGCTCCAAGCCCCTTCCAACCTGGCCTTGGGCACTTCCAGGGATGGAGCAGCCACAGCTTCCCTGGAAAACCTCTTCCCAGAGAACACCACCACCCTCTGAAGCGTTAACACTTCTTCCTGATATCCAGTCTAACCCTGCCTCTGTCAGTTTGAAGCCATTCCCACCTGCCCTGGGACTCTGTGCCCCTGTCACAGAGCAGCTCATGCCCAGCCTCTCACCCACAGCACCCCCAAATTCTCCTCAGGGCTAATCCCAACCCATTCTCTGCTCAGCCTGGCTTTGTGCTTGGGATTGCCCTGGCACAGGTGCAGGACTCCAAAGGACTTCATGTGGTTAACTTGCCAATGACTTCTGCAGAAATGAATCCAAATTTGTCAGCTGAATTTTAAATGCAGGTTTAAGTGATCAGGAAAGCTAACAACCTGCCCACATGTTGAAATTGCATTTAAAATCTATACAAGGAAAGTAAAAAGCCTTTCACCTGGATGGCGCCATTTGCCCATATTGACAAAATACTCAGGAAAAGTGGGGAAAGAACAGACAAGTTATCCCAAAGGAACTGTGCCTGATTGGAAAATCTCCTTCTACGACACAACGAATGCTGAAATACCTCCTTAAAGGATTTTTTGTTCAATAGTGCATGATGAAAATCCTTTAAAATCACCAGTGTGAGGGAAAATTCCAGTGATATTAATGATCCAAGGGAGACTTACTAGGAACAGGCTAAAGCATGAGACTTTTGTGTCGTGATTTGTAGCAATATGTTCACTCTTGGATGTTTATCTTCAGATAATTTCCTGATCACCATCCTACCACTTCCTATCACAAGACACAATGAGAGCATCCAGGGAGCTGTGGCAGATTAGGGACTGACATCTTCTACCACAGGAAAAACAGGAAGCTAATTTTAAAAATTAGAGACTTCTACCAATTATTTCTTCATCTACCACAACATAAATCCCACAGTAAAGCTGGCACTTTAATATTTAGACACTTGAGAAATTTCCCTTGAATGTTATCTGCTTAGTGCCTGTTACTATTGAATGAAAAAAGCATTTGTTTTAATGAACAGAATCAGTGGTTTTGGTTAATTGAAGACTAAATCTGTGATAGCAGAAAAAAGTTTGGCCCATAAAATGGTTATAAGAAGCTACAACATACATCTTAAAAAATTAACTTTAGCCAGAAAGGCTTTTTTATCAGACAATAAATTTTTTTAAAAATACTGTCTGTATGATCTGCAGTTCATTTGGTCAAGATCTGTCTCCTCAGAAAATGACAACTTATTACTGAACCCTATTTGTGTGGATATAGTTGGTAAAAAGTGAAACAAGGAGCAAATGAGAATTTCAGAGCAGCTGACAGAAGCTCTCAAAGGCACCAACAGGATGACAGGTGAAAATTATTTTTCCTGGAGCCAGGAATATCACAAAGCAACATTAGTGACCTAGAGGCATGATGATTTTTCTATCCTTGCCTTGTGACACTCGTGTTTTCTTCGAATTGTTTAATGGGTCACTCCTACATCCTCTTTGCAACATCAACCAGCAACTCATAAAGTCATTAACAACCTTACATAATTGTGTCTGCTTGAGCAGTCTTTTCCTTTAGGAAGGATACACATAGTTAGGCTACAATTTGCTGTTAACCTTGGGTCATCCAGCTGGGACATCAAAAGGAATTGTTTCATCTCAAATACAGCCCCATTATCAGCTTAACCATACTGTAACTTAGCTGTTACATCCTGAGATACTCAGAGTGTAACCCCATCACTTCCTCTCAGCACCATTCACAGGAAGCTTTTTGGACGTGAGCAGTCAAAAAAAATCAAAGCAGTCCTGCTAAAATAATATTATAGGGAAAGAACTCTTACTGAGGTTCTAAATGACAGCTCCATGTCCAAAACAGAGATATTCTCTTCATTTCACATCTTAGCACCCTTTAGTCAAACTTTGCAGGCTTTTCTCTGAAACCTCCTGCAGGTGCTCTCAAGTGAGTAACAGCAAAAAAACCCATAAAACATAAACACAAGAAACATCACCAAGATGTGCTTCAACACTTCAGCAGGCTGCTGATGCTTTGGGACAGACAGAAGCAGCATCTGAATATGGAATTTTTCTGATTCACAAATGAGCCACAGAAATGTGTGTCCCAGAAATTCAGTGTCCCAGCCAAGCAGGAAGAAACGAGTAACTTAAATTATTGCTGTTGTGAACAGTGTGCTATTAAAGAATTAAGTTTATTTCTTACAAGGGAAGCTTTTAGACTGGTGCAAGGAAGAGTGGCCTGCCTGCTTGGGATGCTCAGAGCCTGATGTCAGCCACCCCTCAGCATGTGCTGGAGCCCACAGACACACACAGTGAATGAGCTGCAGCGTAACAGCATTTTCCTACCCAAAATCTGCACATCTCATCCCTTTCTCATCCCCCTCCCCAGACCCACACATGTGGAACCTCCTCAGCACCTGCAGGGAGAGCCACAAGAGCCAGGAAGAAAGCACAGGGCACCAGGACATCCCATCTTGCACAAGTGGAAGAGATTTCTGAGCCCCTGCAAGGAAGTCAAAATAAACTGGGTCTTTCCCCTTACATGGGAAGTTTGAGGGGAAAAATCTTTCCCAAAAGAAATGGTCTGAAAAGGCAGGGCATAGCATTAATCTTTGCTAAGGAAACACAAACTTAACACAGCCAAGATGTTTCACATGACATCTGAATTATGCAGCAGAATAGCACCAAAAAAAACTGGTGATTATGAAACAATGTCAATATTACCGCAGCATTTTTACCACACTATCATCTAACATTCCAAGACATGACGGTAAAATCACACTTGAGCTTACAGAAGCTAGAGAGGAGATGCCAAAAGCCTCCCATAAAGAAAAGGCAAAAAATAAAATTGCAAAAAATAAAATTACAATACAGTAAAAAACATTGCTGTAAACAATTTTAATGCTTAAATTCTGAACCTAAGGCCTCAGGACCTTACAGGCTGCAGAGTGCTGATGGGATGGGTAAGGAAGAGCCTCTCCCAAGGGGAACAGAGAGCTTGGCTTGTCCAGCTTTGCAAAACAAGAACCGAGAGTTTGTCCCGAGATACACCAAACATGCAAATAGCAAAGCCAAAACAAAACCTTTCAAACAAAAGCATAATGCTAGCACACAGAAAAAAGTGGACATAAACAAAGAGGGACTACAGCAAAAGATTCCTGAGGAGCAAAGGAACAGCCTTGCCATAGGAGTAATGGAAAATAACAGACTACAAATATTTTAAGGAAGGCTTTAATAATTTATGAATGGCATTATCAGTGAGAGCTGCTTGTGACAGGAAGACTCCTCCATAATCCTGAAGTCCTGTTGGTTTTGAAGCACTGGATGTGCCTGCTGGGGATGCTTTAACCTGTTCTGTTACAGCAAGTTCCATTCAGACTCACATGGAATTTGAGAATTACACCATGACAAGTTTGAATCATTGCCTGTGTCTTTTTCAGTTATTTAGCCTTTATTATACCTCAGGAACTACTACTAATCTAAACAAACAACCTGCCCACCACATGCTCCAACTCTGCAGCAGTCTTGGCAAGCTTCACATCTGATGTATGCAAAGCAAACAAAACTGAACATTTTTAGCTCATTCTCCTCGGTAAAAGGAAGTTTCTGCTACCACACTTTGGCCAAATGACTGACAGGCAGTTAGGAGCAGGATGTAGGAAGACAATCTGCTGGAACTCTGCGGAAGGAAGGATGCTAAACCTCAAAAAATTGCAGAAAACCAGAGGAGAAATGAGCTCATTTCTCATCATCCCCACGGAAGCAGACTATGCGACAAAATGCTTTTGTGACCTAACTCTCCAGCTGCATTTTGACCTCTTAAAAGAAACTCCCAGAGTTTGGCTAGCAGAGTGCCTGGGAGATAGCTCAAGGTTTAATCCAAAAGGGAGACAGCAACCTCACTGCAGCGTAACAGATGGAATGGCACAGTCTGCATGGAAAACACCCCTCTAAACTGAACCGGCACAGTCCCATTGTAAGCTGCAGTTTAAAAAGATGTATCCACTCCAGAAGCATAAAAGAGCACTTATCTTAATGAGTTTTCTTTAGGGAAATAATGAATATACATCTTTATCTACCCTTTTCCCTAGAATGACACAAGGCCAAGTCATTTTCCACCGCAGAGCTGTTTACATCCAGTAATTTAAAGAACATTTCCTAATCATTTCCCTAACTAAAGAGAGCTGCAAAATAAACATCTCTCCTCCAGCAGCCTCACAGTTTGATCTTACTTACCGAAACAGAAAAAATAGATACAAAAGCAATCTCAGCACAAAGCGGGGGGAAAGAGGAAACTCTTTTTCGTGAGTGGCGCTGAAGCAAACAGAAAGGTTTTGGCAGCAACAGCAGAAGCCGTATCTGGTTTGCATTCACATCACTCCAAGCATGAAATACAGAATCCCTCACAAAACGCCTATCGGAACCCGCAGAGAAGCGGAAGCCTGTAAATTTTATTCCAGAGGAACAACTCAAGCAGCCGCAGCTAACACATCCTCCTCTCCCTCCAGCCCAAGGCAAACCCGCCTTCCACCCGCACCTCCACAACACGCAGCCCGCACCTCCCCATCCCCGCTGCTCCCCGCCTGGAAGGGAGGGAGAGAGGGAGAGACCTGGAAGCTCCGGCGCTGGCGGTGGGGCACATCCTGCCGACTGCTCCGGCCCGAGCCCGCAGGCCCGGCGCCGCCGCATGGGCCTGGGCCGGCGCGGTCTCCGCTGCGGTGCCGCGGGCGTTGCGGGCGGCGCTGGCGGCCCCGGCGCTCTGAGGCGCGGGCGCGGCGCGGCCCCACCGCAGGTAGCGGAGCCGGCGCGCGGCGGGGGCGGCACGTGGCGGCGCGCAGCCAATGGGGGCCGAGCGCGGCGCCGCGAGGGGCGGGGGCGCCGCCCGCGCTGAGGGGATGCGGCAGGGCCGCGGCCCCCGCTCCGCCCCGCGGCTTCTGTGCGGCGGCCGTGTTACAAATAAGCGCTTTCTTCGCCTTTCTCCCCCACCGCAATCAGTCGTGGGCTTGGGGGGTTTCGCACACACACACACACCCCCCCCCAGCCAAGAGACCCGCGCTCGCTGCCCCCTCCTCATGTCCGCCCCCTCCTCATGTCCGCCCCCTCATTTCGCTGCCGGTGCCTTCACTCGCCCTCTGTGGAAAAACGAGGTGGATCCCCTCAAGTTAAAGCGTTTGAGCTGTTTTTATTGTGCCGTATACTCCCAGGAGCTTTGGAGCTTTCAGGCCTCTCCGCAGCTGTTTTAGGGAATCGTGATTTTTGTGACCCGAGGTGCCGCAGAATGTGTAAAAAAACCCAAAAATCTGGTTTAGTTGTAGACCCGTGTAAGCGGCTGCTTGACTCGCAAGGAAGGGAAACGACCTTGCAAACCCATCTGAGCATGGCCTTAGAAGTCACAAGTTGAACCACCAAATAAAGAGCTGGAAAACCACTGGAGCGAGAAGCGAGGAAGCGTGGGCACCGGATGAGGGAAAGCTGATGAAGCAGGAAAATGGATTAAGTCATTACAGCCTGTCTGATGCTAAGAATTTTATTTTTTTTTTAAATATCTGACTTATTGCTATGGTATCTACAAATGGTTCCCTAACCTAGATGATTGATGCAAAGCAATCAGTGATTCCAGGCACTGCTGATTATTAGTGCTGGTAGTACAGTGCATAACACACAGCAGAGGCCATGTCAGGGGAGGCAGGGGAAAGCTTGTCCTTAAAGAAGGTGGGATAAAACTGGCTCTGAGGTGCCATTCTCAGTTAAAAAGGAGTGATATGGTTCAGTGAGAAGAACACAAGGAGATCTGAAAACAACCTGCTTTTTCTGACCAGTGTATAAATGTTCCTTCACTGTAAGGGATAGATGAGCACATGTCCTGAAGCGGGACAGTTTAGATGCTTTCAAATTTTATACAAGATAAACACAGTTTTCTATCCTTATAATGGTCATTTCTTCACAGTTCCTGTTAAACTACACCTCATTTTTTACAGTGGAGAAGATATTTCTTCTCTGTTTTGTCAGATGTTTGATGGTTTGAGTTGTAGTCACTGCAGATCCTTGATCACTTATGGTATGATTCAAGAGAAAACATATACAAGTCAGAAACAAAATATTCCCTGCTCTGTTATTTCAGCTGTTGACACAATTGGATTAGCTCTTATATTTAGTCCTCCTCCATAACTGCAAGCAACTGTTCATTAGTTTGGACTCTCAGATGAAGCCAGATGTAAATAAAGACCCTGAGTGTACCGCCATTCATGAACAAGGGTGTCACAAGGCCTGTCACATTGGGCTTTGGCCAGGAGACAATCAGGCTTTGCAAGCAGCTGCAGCAAACATGCAGCAAAGATGCACTGTGTTCATATTTTGAAATCTGATAGGAAAAGTGAACAATCAGTTTTGATACGTGTCGTATTTTTGAGGCAGGACAAAGCATGACAGTGGATGAGTGATGCTGTATTTTAAAGAAAGCTTAGAGGATTCTCCAGTTAGCAGTTAATTCTGTCAATAAATAAGGTTTCAGTGGATTGAAGTCCCAGAAATAAATAGGAAAAATGCAGTACTAGGAGTGCATCACCAGTCCAGCTAACAAGGCAGGGAGATCAGAGCCTGAGAGGCAGAAAACACAATTGTGAGTTTAAGAACTCAAATTAAGTTGGATAAATGTCACAGGAGGGAGTAGGGCTGGAGCTGACATTTCAGGAAGTATCTGTGACTGCTTCTTGGGAAGCCAGAAGAGGAAAAGCAAACCCTGGTCTTAAAGAGTGTCATGTTATTGACAAAGACCCACGCTGTAGCAGGAGCTGTAGCACCCTTGGTTTTGACACCCTTGTAGCAGCATGACAAAGAAAATCAGCAGAGTTCTGCTTTCTTTTCAAAAACAGAGGAGCAATATAAAACAAGACACACCTTTCATTAAAAGAGGGTAAAAGAAAGGACTTGTAACCTCTGATGGCTTAAGTACAAATTTATGAGAAGGATACAGAAAGAAGTTCAGGGTCATCTTGCAAAAGTTATAAGAAATAATAGCAAGTCTTTCTAGAACAAATCAGCTGGACTTTGACAGCTCTGTAAGGCAAATAGATTGTTTCATATACAGAAGAAACATCTGGAGAAGATACAGCCAGGAAAAAAAGGCTGAATTTATTTTTGCATTTGTGAATGGGATAGACGAGCATGGGTGAACTCCAATAATGGGAAGCTTCTTTAAGGGGAATTATTAGGAAAACATGTCTTGGATTACAGTGCAAGTATGAAAGATGAAAGAACACATTAACAAGTGAGCAGCAGCCAACTGCTGAGACCAGATGGTTCAACCACAAGTTGTCAAGCAGCTCAAAGTGCTTCAGGTAGTAACTGCTGCCTCTGACTTCTCACTTAAAGTTACCTGGGCATCAGAGGGGTCTGGAGAGTTGCTCATGTGACACCAGATTTTTTAAAGGATTTTGGAGAAGATTGTGGAAGCTGTAGACGTGGAAGCCCAATCTCCTTGACAGACAAGTAAGTAGAAATTATGCTGAAGAAAAAAACTTAGTGGCCACACAATAAAGATGACACATTAGGGAAAGTCATTATGGCTTTTTGAAAGCAAAATAGTGTCTCAGGAAAGCTTTCTTTGAAGAAGTCAAGAAGCTCATGGACCATGAAGATTCAATTAACTCTCTGTGATGGTTCCCAAAAGCAATCAGTAAGATTACTCCCCAAGGGAAGTAAAAAACAAGGCTGCTAATGGATGTGAAACTCAGACAAATAACTGATAGAAATGGAGGCCAGTAGTGATTTACAAAATATGTTGCTGATAATGAGCAATTCAGGGTAGGGCTAACTGAGAAAAACTGAGTGACTATGCTACCAACAGACTCGGTGGCAAAATGGCAGATGAAATTAAATCTGATAAATATGAAAGGCTGACATGTGAGAAAAAAAAAACAATCCTGAATTTCACATATATACTGAGGAACTTTGAGATCGTTTTTACCAGTGAGAAAAAAGGCCTTGAGGTTGTGAAAGCTGGTTCTGTGAGAACATCAACTCAGGGCTCAGCAGTGATCAAAATAGAAACTGAGAACTGTTAAGATTATTGTTAAAATGTATTAAGAGAGAAACAGAGATGAAAAGGGTCATTGTATCAATCCCCTTTTGCACCTGCATCTTTAATTGCCTGTGCTGTTCTAGTTTGAAAATAGAAAGGTAGAACTGGAATAGATGAAATAAAAATCAATACAATTATCAGAAATAGTAGGAGGGCTTCAAAAGGGATCCTTGTTGACTCAGCTGGGTTTTTCCAGTCTGCAGGGAAGGGAAGATAACATCAAAGTCTATGGATCCAAGTAAGAACCAGGAATCCAGACTGCTCGCTGACTTATCAGACACGAGAACTGAGCTACAGCAAATGAAAGGAGAACTTGGAAGGTTCAAAACAAACAAAAGGAGATAGTGCTTCATTCAGTCTATACTTAAGCCATTAGTCTTTGCTTCAGGATACAGTGGGTACCAAAACTTTGCATGAGCTTAAAAAGCAGCTGGAAAATCATCAAAGACTCTTGATCTAACTCAGCAAGTTCTTGACTTGTAAGTTGCTGGAGCTGAAAAAAACATTTTGGGGAAGTACAGAACGTGTTTTCCCAGTTCTTTCTGTCTTCCTACTCACATTTGTCTGAAACTGCTGAGCTGGGTGGAGCTTTCAGCCAACCCAACATCAGATTTGTAGATTTAGGATTATTTTTACCTCCCAGCTCCAGATCATCCAGCTGTCATAATCATAATCTCCCCAGACTATTTCTGGTCATTAAGTAATTGCATAGGGCTTTTGCATTGCTTTTTGTTTTGCCTTTCACTGTATTCACTGCTTTTAGCACTATATTATAGCCCACATTGATTTTTGGCACTGCCTACTATTTTGAGAAAAAAAACCCCTCTCATTAAAATCTTTAATGTGTTCTTCCCAGAAGCATTAAAAACAAATTATCCCTTGTAGGTGTAGTGCCTTTCTCATTTCTGGGAGAATGCAAGTCATCAGTGCAATCCTAAGTACAAACTACATGGGAGGAGTGATGTAGGCAGTGTGCTGCTCTGGAGAAAAACAATACACTCTATGGTGGTCTAAAGGGGTGGATGCAAAGCAGGTTGTTACTGTTCAACCATCTAAGCTGGCTTTGTGAGTAATTGTTAAACAGAACAGAAATATTCTTACTTCCCATTTCAGCTGGTGCAGACAGTGGCTTAGGACTGCTGGAGTGTAGAATTACCAATATAAATATTTAATTCATATTGATGGTAGACCGGGTATGATTTGTGTCCTTTTGAGTTTCTTTTCCCTAGCAGAAAATATTTTCATGCAGTTCAGTGTTTTAAGTCTATTAATAATTGTACAAAGCCTTAACGGCAGAGATTGTAATGTATATATTAATAATGCATTTGCAGAGAAAAATATATTAATGCTTTTCTAAATGCTCAATTAAGCAATTACCTAATGCCACAAAGCATTCGTAACAGAGAGCAAGTATAACCTTAAATTGTTTTATGATGCTGTAGATGTCGAAGAGTTTAGGAAATCTAAGAGAGGAGCACATGCAGTGAAGCTTTGGGGAGAGAAGCATGCAGCCCACCGTGCCACACAGCTTTGGGAGGTTGTCACAGCTCCTCCTCTGTGGCTCGCTTGGCCAAGGAGTGAACCATGGCCACAAGACTATCTGTGGCCTGCCACTTCCAG